TTGGCCGATGTCTCTGGCTCTTCTCCCCTTGGATCTTCGATTCGCCAGGCTATTTGGTGATTGCCACTTGGGATAGTTGTCACTCACTAACAAGGCTAACCCCACATTCAAGGGGCACTCATACAACCGAACGGTTACCAACCACAAGTAGGCGCAAAGAGTAACAGAGGGAAAGGCAACCGGCGGATTCAATGGAAGCGGTCGAAACAGATCTGCCGCTGAAAATTATGGTAATCGACCCTTGGCCCAGGAATGGGAGTAGCTTCCCTTGCCCCTATCCAGGACTACACTCCCTCAGGTTAACATGGAAGCTCCCAGAAGGCCTCTGTAAATGGAACCAAGTCTGAAAAAGGGTCCTGGGAGCTTCCATGTTAGTCTGGGGGAGGGTACTCCCAAGTGCCAAAGACCAACTCCCCCGCCAATCCCTGAAATCGAGCCGCCATCCACCAAGAGCCCGAATTCGCGTTGCCTGCCGCGACAGGAATTCTCCCCTCAGACTAAATACGGAACTCTAGGGGTTGATTCCCCATTCTTTTCAACCATCGTTCCTTTCAAAAACCAGCTGTTTCCCCAGGGTGTTGGGTGGTTTAGAAGGATGCCTGGAAACAATGGGGAAGGTACCCCTAGAGGAACCGTAAAAGCTGACAGGTGGTCCCCTCGAACGGCAACTCGCCGTTCAATGAGTTTCCTCCTTGGGTGTTTTCAAACCCTGAAGAGGCGCTCCCCGTGAACGAATACATGAGTCACAATCAAAACCCGGTATTAAAATGGTTGACCCAGAACCACGTAAGGAAATACAAAGGCGGATTCCCGCAGCTGTTTCTGGCTGGGACTGTCCCTTACTAGCCTTCATGTACCTGGGTTTTGAGCAAGTGGCTCGCATGTGATTTCAGCCGGATGAAAAAACTGCCATCCTTTCCTTGAGACACGAGACATCGCTGCAAGAGGAATCGATCAAGCAGACCATTTTGAAGCTCCCGGCCCGGGGTCACCAGGCGAAAGCACTTGGTTGCTGCAACGACCCGCTCTGCAAAAGGTTTAACGTTTTGTGGGTTTCATGGAAACCCCCTTGATTTCGCAAAATGTGTTGTGGGTTTAGTGGAAAACCCCTTGATTTCCCCCCCCCCCCCAAATAAGCTCAGGTGATATCCCCAACAGCATGTGGAACCCTTGTGGAATCCTGGTGGAACCCTGGTGGAACCCTCGTGGAACCTTACCTCCGGGCCGCCCCGGACCACCCCGGAGCCTATCTGGGCTGAGACCCCAAAGCTTTCATGGGGAAAAATTGTGGGTTTAATGGAAAACCCCTTGACATCCAAAAAAGTTCTTAAAGTCTAAAGATCCAGCCCAATAGCAGCCAAGAGCAGAGGTGTGAAACCCCCAGCCGGTTGAACTCGGTTTTGCTGGGGAAAAACACATTTCTTTTGGTGCCAGATTGGTGAGGAAACACCGTGGGAGTGGTTCCTTTCTTTCAAGACGAATCCCAACCATCGTTGGCAGAATCCTGCAGCTACGTGAGTCAAAAAACCGACTCAAAATGGTCAAGCCCCAGAACCATTGCTCTATGAAGCAAAAATCCGGGGATTTCCCGCAGCCAGTACTTCCATTTGGTTTCGACCCCTGGGAAAAAACAAGCAAATATTCCCAGTAGTGGTAGATTCCCTTGAAAGCCAACAGGGGAAAATAAGAAATATTGATTTCAGCAAATGGAAGAGTACAAAGGGCTGGGAGACTTGGAGCTGCAAGTGGCTCCAAGTGACCATTTCACCTCTCGCGGCCTGCCTCGCGAAGCTGCGCGCGGCCTGCCGGCACGCCTGCAGAGATTGCGGGGAGAGCCGGATCTGGATACCTCCCGTGCAAATGGACGGAACCCAAACGAGTGGTTCTGCAGAAGATGTCAAAAAGCTTCTTCTGCCTGCAGCAGTGGTACAAGTAGAAGTAGAAGTAGAAGCAGAAGCAAAAGCAGAAGCAGAAGCAGAAGTAGAAGTAGAAGCGCATAACAGGGCGATGCCTCGGATGATACCTTCTTTTTCGAAGACCGTTAACCAAAAGAAACGCAGCTGACTTCCATCATCTTCCATCCCTCGGTTCTTTGCAATTGGTCGCAGATACTCTCAGCGTTCGTTGGCTGGTGTGTTGGTTGGTTGGTCCTCTGTCTCTGTCTCTGTCTGCGTCTGCGTCTGCGTCTGCGTCTGCGTCTGTGTCTGCGTGTTTGTGTTTGTGTTGGGCCCCTGGCCTGCAGTGCCTTTTCGAGATGGGTGGGGGACAACCAAGCAGCCAGCCAGCCAGCCAGCCGACCAGCCGACCAGCCGACCAGCCGACCAGTCCGGAGGCAGCCAAGCAGCCAAGCCAACCAACCCACAAACCAACCAGCCAGCCAACCAAGCAACCAGCGACAGACGCACGCACACACACAAAGACACACACACACACACACACACACACACACACACACACACACACACACACACACACACACACACACACACGCACACCGGCCTCCTCATAGGGCACCCCACCCCACCCCCCCGCCCCGCCCCACCCCACCCCACCCCACCCCATCCCACCCCACCCCACCCCACCCCACCCCACATGGGAACACAGTGCCGGTGTTTCTTGAAGGATCCGTAAGCAAAGGATTGCGGAAAGATGCTGCAAGCAACCTGCAACTCAGTTTGGTCCCTTTTCCCAGCAGCCTCTTGGACCAGACGCAGGCTCTCAAACAAGCAAGGGCTGGTCCCTGTCTGACTGATCTGGTTCGGGTACGCGCGATCTGCCACTCTCTGTGCCCCGTATCCAATCACTCACCCTCTCTTCAGGCATTGGTTTGGAGCCTCAAAGAATTGGTTTGGAGCCTCAAAGACCCCGCAGAACATCCTACATCCTTTCCGACTCCGCTCAGACCCACCCAAGCTTCGAAGTCCAGTCCAGGTGTCAATCAGGGGCTGCACAAATCTCCCTTCGCATGTGAGAAGACATATGGGGGACTATTTGTCAGAATAGGGTTCCCCCCTCCCCCCCGAAAATGGCGGGCTTCCTTTTGGTCTCCCTTTAAACCACACTCAAAAGACGCAGGCCTAAAGGGAATATGGCCTGTTGCTTCTTGCCGGCGCGAGATGTCTGAAAAACATGGAAAGCCTCCGAAAACAGTTACGGTACAAAACCATCCAGCGTCTCAATTGTTTTGACTTCTATCAAACGGCGATCGACCCCCCCTCCTTCCTGACTGCATGGCGCCACATGCTTGTGAGCGCTTGTGGGCCAAAGCGAAAGGCCTGTTGAGTGTCTTGGTACGGTTGATTGCCTAGATGCTGCAAGGGAAGAAGCAAATCCTGACGATCACCTGTGGTTGGTCCGCTTGCAATACTTCGCGAGTCAACCGTGCACTTGCAAACTGGGCTGCCCTCAGATCCCGCGCTAAAAGCTTAACTTTCAGTGGGTTAAATGGAAACTACCACTAAACACAAAGGCTGAACGGCTAAGGGGATGGCTGGGAGCCACCAAGCAAACTCATCGGTTTCAAGCACGCGGTATCTCCCTGGCCGCTACAGGGCTGAGATTATCTGAACGTTGATTTCAGCTATGGCGGGTCCAGGATGTTTCTGCTCGGCTGCCAGAGATCAGGTTGGCAGGTTTTCAAGTACGCTCGATTCTTTGTTGGGGCAACCGCCTGTTGGTTGGATTTGAAGGGAAAACCACGAGGAAAGCATCCCTTTTTGGCTGTCAAATAGAAAAACAAACACCATCTCGTCTCCTGTGCTCTTCCAAGTGTGGGCCTCGCAAAGATCCACTGTCCGATGGCGAAATAGATGGGTTTCCCTGGTAAATGGGGCATCATGCCAATCTAAACCAGTAGATGTCCAACCAAACTAAGCGATCAAAAGGACACCTGGGCTAATACGCCGTGGAGTATCACTTTTGGAGGGGGAAGCACCCCCGTATTCATACACAGGGGTTGCTAATCCGGGGTTACTAATCCGGGGAAACGCTGGTTTTTTCAGGGGATCTCAATGCTCTTCTCCCCTCATGGGCCTCTTTTTCTGCACAGCCGGGGGCTGCCAATGCTAGAGCCAGTGGCTGTCGGCGTCAGGTGCAGCCAGCGAGTTGAAGCCGGCCAATATCTGTCACCCGGGTGCCACTGAAGTGAGCACAAGAGTCAAAAATCATCTGTTCGCACGCTTTTTTGAAGCCATGGTCGACACCATGGGTGCATCCTCCTCCCCAACTGTGAGGATGCGAATTCGCTTAACTCAGACGCATCCCCCTCTGCCCCATGCTATTCAAAATGGAGCGGGGGAAGCCACCACAACGGGGACCACTTTCGTAACTCAAGGTGCGGATTGTTCAAAGCCTAGCCACGTCATTCATTTACTAGGTCCTCCAGATTTGAGAGGTTAGAATAAGGGTACCCTTTTTTTCTGTAGTCTACTTAGTAGGGGAACCCGCCCCCAAAAAAGCGGTGAGAAAGGCACTACTGAGGGACCTAGTCTACTTGTTTCACTTGTCAGAAGCCGTGGGGTTTCTCTGAACCGGTGCCCACAGTCTTGCCCGGCAGGCTTCGGATCAGAGACGGCCAAGCAATCCCAATGGCGTGGGGCTGTCGGACAAATAGATAGCCCGGTAAATGGAATAAACAACCAACCAAAACCAGTGGCTTGCCCATCTATGGCTAACCAAGGTAGCCGAAAAAGGACATCTACGCTTCTGCCCTACTGCTAGCATCTGCTGATTCTTGTACACTTCAGCGGGTTCAATCTCCATCTCATATGTCTAGTGGCATATCGAACCGCCAGGAAATAGTGAGGCAGCTATACTGCAAGGTGGTCAAAATCAAGTGGCCGTGGTTCCCTTTTGGCTGTCCTAAAGCCCAACCCTCTGGCATGTGGGAGTTCCTTTTGATTTCCCTTTGAATACCAACCAAAAGAGGGTCCACCATTTCACATATATATATATAACGTGCCAGCAGCCCGTCGACCATGGTTTGCACTGGGGCCACAAGCATAAGTCCGGCGGTGCCCCTTGATCTCCACCACATCGTTCCTTGCACGTGCCGAGGCAGTTGCCGAGAGTGAAGCGACCGCTGGCTGACAGTAATTCAGACTTTTGCGGATATGGCCGTGGGTCAAAACCGTTTTGGGATCCCATTTTGGTTGGTAGGTGAATTCACCACTCATTTTAGTCAAAAGTGGGGATTGGGATAATTACTCACAGGGGGATTTTGACCCATGGCGTCACATCGGTCTTGACAGCACCATTCCTGGCTCTGGCGTTCCTGGCAGCGTCCGAGTGACGTCCCTTACCCCTGGAGCCATCCGTTCGCGTTCCGTGGCGGCCACGGAGCCACGAGGTGCCGATTGAGGCCCTCGCATGCCGCCCACGGAGAAGCGGTAGAACCTCGGGAGCTGCTCGGAAGCCGCTCGCCAATCTCACCGGCGCAAAAAGTGGATGGCGCAAAAAGAGCAACCGAACTTGATATTTACCACGAAAGTGGTCCAAACCCAAAAAGTTTAAAGTTCATGAACTCAGGAAGTGAGCATGGCAGACATGAGGGGCCAGGACAAGTCGGAGTCCGCGGCATTAGATGTGACATGGGCTGACAGCACAAGTGGAGATTGAGATGTGCGTCCATGCCCAGGCGGTTGATGACAAACTTCAAAGTGACATTCCGTGCTGGAAAACGTGCAAGCTATGAAGGCGTGGTGTGTTTGAAAGGGATGCCTGAGGTGAAACAATTGACCCAAGAAAAAAGCTATTGTGGATGGACGAAATCCGTTCGCACCACTTTGAAACCATGGGAAACCAGAGTTTGCTGGTATTTAAAGGAGAATCGAATCATTCCAAGGTTTCTTAGGTGGTGCGAAATGGATTTCGTCCATCCACAGTGGGGCCATTTCCCGCGGAGTTCCTTCACCTTTGAAAGCCTAGGAGAAACCCTGCCACCCCGCCACCTCGCAGCGAGCGAACCGTTTCTCCTGCCGCGGGTGACCATATTGGTCACCGAAAACGGCGCTTGCTCGCTCCGCCCGTCTTGGGCAAGAAAGCCTTTGGGGTGGGAACACCCTGTGACTGTCCAGCGTTGTGGCTCGCGGTTTGATGGCACAGGTGGTGCCCCTCGCTGAGTCTTGCTGGTGCTTGTTTGGGAGTCGGTTGGGTCGAAGATGCTCCAGCACTGCAGTTCCCTGTTTCCGAATGGGCTCAACCAATGCCTCGCGCTCTGCCGCTCACGGGGCTGGCAGCAGTCGGGCAGCTGGCTGCCCCTCCTGGTGCAGAGAGTCATGCATAGCCAGGGTCCCAGGGACGGACTCGAAAGATATCTCTGACAGATGTGGTGTCCTATCTGGCTCGCTACCAAATGTACACGTCCAGTGGTCCCAACCATCACAGCCATCACAGCCTTCCCTTCAAAAAGAGTAGGGGGGAAGGGTACTTCGGCCTGCCCAGATTTCTCCGAGCGGGCACCAGGGTGATGAACATCGTGGAGAATGCAAGCCAATGGAAATGCACAAAGACCAGCCAAACCACTGCAACGGCGCCGTTGGGTGCATAGAACGCGAACAAAAAGGTCCGAGGTAGGCTCTCTCTTGCGAAACACCCGCAACCGCCGAACAAAGTCCTGCAAAAAAAAGACAAATATCTTGCTACCAGGGTCCTTGCACCATGCTTTCACCACACCTACCTGCAAGGTGCCCCCTGCATATGGACACTTTTGCGGTCTGCAACCCAACTTCTTTCGGTCGCACGGCGGTTGACGTTTTCGGTTGCGTGTTACTAACCGAAACTCGCTTGAGTCATGATCAAAGCATGGCGTTAAAATGGTCGATCCCTAGAACCATGCTTCAAGAAGTAACAAGGCAAAGGCACCCATTTAGGGCAGGTTATTCCTTACTCCCCTTCACATAGGTGTCCTTTGAGGGGGAATAGATGGATTTCCCTGGTAGATGATTAAACCACCAGGTAAACCTGGAATTGCCCTCTATTTTTCGAGCAAAACAACCAAAAAGGACACCTATGGACCTTCATCTCCCCGAGTTTTGATTAGAGTTAGGCCCAGTTCTAGAATGTATATTGTCTTTTTTGCTTCACTTTGAGTCACTGGTAAAATACGTAACATGTGTCCCCAGGAGTTTTGAGCAAGTGTCTCACTTCCTGGCACCCCGAGCCTCATCCCAGCATCCCAGCAAAGCGCGGAAGGCTGGGTCCACAGACTTCGGGCCCAGCTCCTCCCGGACCTCTGAGACATTTTCGTGGGGGGGACACTTTGGGTGCGGATGCCCGCGAAACAAATGGCCGTGGTTGTCAACACCAATGTTGTACAAAGGCTATTCCATGACGGCTCTTCCATGACGGCTCCTTGCCTAAGAACTCGATATGGCCCAATGATACAGACACCATTGATATTGGTCAGTTGTCAACACCGTTTTGGGATCTGATCCCATTTTTGGTTGGGATTGGTGAATTCACCACCCCATTTTAGGCTTTCTTTTAGCGGTTGGACTGGGATGCTCACTGGGTAACCGGGGTTTTGACCCATAGCCAAATTGCCAGGGAGCCAGGGATAAATTGGTCGATTTTGATGGGGTGGTGTGCTAAACGTAGGCAAACCCCGATCAATTCTCAAGAACGGGCTAAACATGGGGAAAAGCCGGGTCAATTCCCATGGCTGTGTGCTAGTCAATTCAGGGAAGCCCTGGTAAACTCTCATGCATATTCTGGGATCGTGGTTGGTTTGCTTGCCATGTTGACTTGACCAACCATACCACCTCAACCAACCACCTCAACCAACCACCTCAACCAACCACCTCAACCAACCACCTCAACCAACCACCTCAACCAGCCACCTCAACCAGCCACCTCAACCAACCACCTCAACCAACCACCTCAACCAACCACCTCAACCAACCACCTCAACCAGCCACCTCAACCAACCACCTCAACCAGCCACCTCAACCAGCCACCTCAACCAGCCACCTCAACCAACCACCTCAACCAACCACCTCAACCAGCCACCTCAACCAACCACCTCAACCAGCCACCTCAACCAACCACCTCAACCAGCCACCTCAACCAGCCACCTCAACCAACCACCTCAACCAACCACCTCAACCAGCCACCTCAACCAACCACCTCAGCCACCTCAACCAACCACCTCAACCAACCACCTCAACCAGCCACCTCAACCAACCACCTCAACCAGCCACCTCAACCAGCCACCTCAACCAACCACCTCAACCAACCACCTCAACCAACCACCTCAACCAGCCACCTCAACCAGCCACCTCAACCAACCACCTCAACCAGCCACCTCAACCAACCACCTCAACCAACCACCTCAACCAGCCACCTCAACCACCAGCCACCTCAACCAGCCACCTCAACCAGCCACCTCAACCAACCACCTCAACCAGCCAACCTCAACCAGCCACCTCAACCAGCCACCTCAGCCACCTCAACCACCACCTCAAACCAGCCACCTCAACCAACCACCTCAACCAACCACCTCAACCAGCCACCTCAACCAGCCACCTCAACCAGCCACCTCAACCAACCACCTCAACCAACCACCTCAACCAGCCACCTCAACCAGCCACCTCAACCAGCCACCTCAACCAGCCACCTCAACCAACCACCTCAACCAACCACCTCAACCAACCACCTCAACCAGCCACCTCAACCAACCACCTCAACCAGCCACCTCAACCAGCCACCTCAACCAACCACCTCAACCAACCACCTCAACCAGCCACCTCAACCAACCACCTCAACCAGCCACCTCAACCAGCCACCTCAACCAACCACCTCAACCAACCACCTCAACCAACCACCTCAACCAGCCACCTCAACCAGCCACCTCAACCAACCACCTCAACCAACCACCTCAACCAGCCACCTCAGCCAACCACCTCAACCAGCCACCTCAACCAGCCACCTCAACCAACCACCTCAACCAGCCACCTCAACCAACCTCAACCAGCCACCTCAACCAGCCACCTCAACCAGCCACCTCAACCAGCCACCTCAACCAGCCACCTCAACCAACCACCTCAACCAACCACCTCAACCAACCACCTCAACCAGCCACCTCAGCCAACCACCTCAACCAGCCACCTCAACCAGCCACCTCAACCAACCACCTCAACCAGCCACCTCAAACCAAACCTCAACCAGCCACCTCAACCAGCCACCTCAACCAGCCACCTCAACCAGCCACCTCAACCAGCCACCTCAACCAGCCACCTCAACCAGCCACCTCAACCAACCACCTCAACCAACCACCTCAACCAGCCACCTCAGCCAACCACCTCAACCAGCCACCTCAACCAGCCACCTCAACTCAACCAGCCACCTCAACCAGCCACCTCAACCAACCACCTCAACCAGCCACCTCACCAGCCACCTCAACCAGCCACCTCAACCAACCACCTCAACCAACCACCTCAACCAGCCACCTCAGCCAACCACCTCAACCAGCCACCTCAACCAGCCACCTCAACCAACCACCTCAACCAGCCACCTCAACCAGCCACCTCAACCAGCCACCTCAACCAACCACCTCAACCAACCACCTCAACCAGCCACCTCAGCCAACCACCTCAACCAGCCACCTCAACCAACCACCTCAACCAACCACCTCAACCAGCCACCTCAGCCAACCACCTCAACCAGCCACCTCAACCAGCCACCTCAACCAACCACCTCAACCAGCCACCTCAACCAGCCACCTCAACCAGCCACCTCAACCAACCACCTCAACCAGCCACCTCAGCCAACCACCTCAACCAGCCACCTCAACCAACCACCTCAACCAACCACCTCAACCAGCCACCTCAGCCAACCACCTCAACCAGCCACCTCAACCAGCCACCTCAACCAACCACCTCAACCAGCCACCTCAACCAGCCACCTCAACCAGCCACCTCAACCAACCACCTCAACCAACCACCTCAACCAACTTCTGCATGCATCTTGCCAGCATCCGATCCTGGCATCCGCCGTCCTGGGATTTGTGGTGGCTTTCAGCTTTTCAGGTGGCTTTCTCAGGGTGTGCCGCCTGCTGACCCTTTGCGAGGTTCAGGGCTCTGTGGTTTATATTCTTACCCCTTAAAAACTCCAAGCCCTGGGGAAGTTAATATTTACAGACATATAGCCCATGTTATCCCCAAAAAGTTGACCGGTACCCTTCTCACGTGTGGTTTTCATAGCTCGCTGCACCCCCAGCAAATGCATCCCTTTGTCAAGGGCTGCCACTGATTAAAGGGCAAATGGCAACAACGACTGACTGAGTTCTTGGAAAAAAAGAAGAAAAAAACCGTGCACCGCCCGGAGTTTGCCCTTGCAAAGAGGGCACATGAGGAGTCTGTCTTCGATTGCCCAAAAACCTGGGTTGCTCTTCCCGA